CAACCTATCTATCAATCTTGGTTGTTTGTTACAAAGACAGGGTTGCAATATTGACCATTTGAGTGCAGGTTAATAGTATGACTTGAAAATGAATTTGTGAATTCAATCAAAAATCTCTACGTAAATTGGCCATCTGAAATTGGGCCTAAATGAAACCACCACATTTCTTCAAGGCAAGGGAAAAGCTCATTTGGAAAAAATAAGAGGCTTGCTAAAAAAAAACATGTTTTAAACATGTGTCGAAAGCGCAAACATCTCTAGCTTTTGTCGATTGCAAGACAACTTCCCATAAACTTAAAGGAAATTATGTAATCATCAAAACCATTTAATTCCACACATTGAAGCTAAAAAAGCGGTTTTCTTGTTTTCGTAAACAGTCCAATCATTTTAAGAGTAGGTGTGGCGCGTTGAAAAAAGTTTGGGAACGCCTAGTGTAGAGTATCTAAAATTTTTATGTAGAAACTGTATTCTTATAAAAATTTGGAAACTGGCAGTGGCATCACTTACTTATTATAAGAATTATAAGTACATACATCCAAATAATCCCTTCACCAACCTCTGTCAAAACCAAAATGCGGCAGTCCTTAAAAATACCAAAATTTACCTTTTATGAATTAGTGCGTCTGGTATAAAAAGTTGGGTTTGGTTGTATGTTTTTTTATCTTATTATTCCTCACTACGTAAATTAAGCTGTTTCGCCCCCCGCCACCCTTTGAATAAAAATTTGGGAAAGAGTTCATTAGGGGCGAATAAGATAAGTGAATGAAATATGATTTGGTTTGTACAAACAACCGCACCTAAATATGAATACAAGTACATATTTCTTCAAAGTTGGTTAGCGTGCACATATGTGTGCCAGTGTGTGGCAATGAATAATCTCCTGAAAGAAAACTAAATTAAAAAAAAGCGTGTAAAACACTGCAAGAGAAATTCGTTTTGCCAAAAAATATTACAACAAATATTTCAACATTTAAGTTTGTATACACACGAGTGGTGAACAAAGCAAATGCAAATAATATTCCATTTTGGGCTACTTTGTTTCGCCGCCACTTCGGCCCGGAGTTTACTGCAAAACCATTACCATAAAAAATTCATAAAACATTGCATTAGCAGGTGCCTGCCCGACTTTGGTTGTAGGGTGCGTTGATTTTCAACTGAAAAGGATTGTTGCTACGTTATTTGATTGCAGAAATATTCCATTCATTTTTAGCCAACAGTGAAAATTTCAAAAATTTAGTTACCATCCTCTTCTGCTGATTTTCATCTTGCTATTTGTTACATGTTGTAAAAACATGAAAAGGTCTACTTCTTGCACCTGCTCATCATCTCTTTCTTTATTCAATTTTGCTGACCATGCCTGTTCATTTGCACAACAACAAGTTGCTATATCCTCGCGGAAGAATGGTACGCCCTATTGTCGGTGTGAATTTCGGCTTTTGTTTACGATTATCCAGCGGAAAGAAAACATTGTTTTGGAAAATAATGCATAAATAACTATGTTGCCAGTCGGCTTGCCACATTTTTAGGCAGATTTGATGTGAAGGTGAAATAAAATGCCTTTATGCTATTTCTGTTGCACGAATGTATGTTCACTGAGGAATACGTATGAGTATGTATGTGTATATGTATATAAGTACGTGCGTAAAAATTTGTTGCGTAGCAAGTTTCATTTGCATTTGCAAAACAAGCTAAATTAAAGTCGGCAGTATTGGGGAGGGGAATTTTTTTTGAATGCACGGCACGTCCTTAGCATCCGTAAACTAAGAGTGTTGTGTTGAGCAGAAACAATAAGCAACCTGATTAAAGGCTACCGATACCTAGAGTATCCAAGTCGTTTTTACTAGTATTCAACAGGAAAACAATCAACAAGAGAATGGTAGCAAGGCATTCTGGTACAACTTAATAAAAACTGAAGTAGGCATTATACCCACTAAACTTGTTATATTAAAATTGAATAAACTGCAAAACTGCTCGAAGAAATCTTATTAAAAAGCTTGAAACTTTAACGAAAGTTTGTTGATATATTTTTTTTTTAATATTGCACAAAATTCGTTATTTGGGTTTATGCTGCATAAGTAAGTCACCATGGGTCGTATTATCGTCGCATTTAATATCTCGGGAACGCAAACGGATAGCGAAATAAATCTTAAATTATTAGAGACTGAAAGTTCAGAAAAAACAGTCTAGTTGGGCCAAAAATTACCTCCACCTTTAAAATGACCCTCAAAAATAAGATTCAAATTTTTTTTTTTTAACCTGAAGACAATATGGAATGGACATTTTAAAGCAGTTCTAAGCACGTGCATATCTATTTTTGGTGTTCTTGCGTCAAGTAATCCATTTCCATGATCCGACTTTATTTCGTTTACAAATATGTGCAATTTTTTCTGTTTTGTGCCTTTAAAAATACAAGTAATTTTTAAACAAAAAACACGGCCGACTTCAGTTCTCATATAAAAATTTTGGAATACCATTAATCTCGTATCTAAACTAAATTAGTACGGGACTACCCTTTAGGTATCACTTTTCCGATAAAAAACTACATAAAAAGAAAAATAAAAAACATTCCTATTCTTTTTTTTTAAATCGCTTAAAATTGCAAATAGTAATCTATGTTCTGACTTGTGTTAAGCTTTCAAATTTTTAGGCATTGATAACAGAAACGTTTCAAATCGGTATCGAAAATTTTCTCAAAATTTTTATTAGAATTTTTTTTTGGGACCAGAATATTTTTTTTAAACTTTTTGGTATTAGTTTTGTTTTATTTTACTTATTATTAACTGATTCTTTCGGAGATTTTGGGGGCTCTTCTTGTTAAAGTTTTCGGAAGTTCCGCTATTTTTCGGAATTTTTCAGGACATTTTTGGTCTGCAGCACCTTTCCAGGATTCTTCGTGTATTATTTCAAGATGTCTTCCATTATTTGTTCAGGCCCTTTCCTATAAATTTCGGTATTTTATCGAGGGCCTCGGCATTCTTTTTGTTATTTTTTTGGGGATATTTAGAATTTTTTTCTAGTTGGCTCACCCTTTTTGCTTTTTGGTCTATAAAGACTTATCGTGTTTAATTTTTAATGACTTTCTCGGGAACTTAGGGGATTTTAGAGGAATTTATGGAATTTTTGTGAATATTCGTGTTCGTTTTTTGCGATTAATAGAATCACCGACGCAGTCAATCTGAGCAAAATTTGCCCTGACAGACGGCGATATTTTGGGATTTTTTTTATCTTATGGCATAGATAGATGACTGCGTTAATACGGACTAGCGACACAAGTGATCTAAGCAAAATTGTATATGGACGGACGACAATCCCTTGACAGGGAAATCGTTCTATAATTTTTTATTTCCCTAAATTATCACTATTATTTGTTTGTACTTAATTATATTTGTTGTGGCTATGATGTTGTGGGTATTGAATAAAAAAAATTTAATTAACTTAACTTGAAATACTTATGTGAGATAACATAAAGCAAAACCACGTAAAATATATAAAATAGTAAAAAAAAGCAAAACTAAATATATAAATACAAAAATAAAACCCAAGACTATGTAAAAAAATATAGGTCCATAGTTATAGTCGTAAGTTAAAACTCATTCTTGTTAAAATAAACTTTTAAGTTAAGAATATATTTTTAAGACTTTTAAGTTTAGAATAGATTTTTAAGTTAAGTAGAATTCTTAGAAACAGCTTTTTGTTAAGATGAGAGAGAACCGACCTAACCATATGAAGAGAAAAAATTTAATCGGCAATATAAAGAAATATGAGTTATTTAACTAGTTCACCTTGTGTCCGCTACAAGATTGCAGATTTGGCAAGCCGGGAAGTCGTGGGTGACCTTCTTATTTAAAATTAAACTCCAAAACGTTTGATTAACTTGAAATAATTATGTGAAATACCACTAACAAAAAAAAAGATAAAAAATAAGACTAAGTAAAATAAAATAAAAGAGTTATTATATTAAAATATAATAATAAAATTAAAGAATAATGTTTGAAATCGCTTGAAGTAGGGAACGAACCTGGGTGCTACTGCGTTCTCTACTTCAACAGCAAAATAAAATTTAGAAGCTTCTTTTACCATTCAAACATCACGTTCTGCTCATTTTAATATTAAAACTCTGCTTTTGCTCTAAAATGCATTTTAAGTTGACTATGAAAAAGTTAAAATGGTGATTACTATACAACTTTAAGTATTTTACCCGTTAAAACCATTCTCTGTATGACTACGGGCTTTAAAAATTGCTCGGAATGGGCACAAATGAGCTGTAGTATCAAATTCGGTTGCCTCGTTCACTTTTCAGTCAAATTCCTTTATTTTTCATTCACAATAGACAAAAGCTGACCGTTTTGAGAACTCAGTTAGTTCTCGAGAAGATTCCGAATAAGCCAGTGGGTCCAGATCAGTACTGCCGTCTGTGTATACTTTTTTAGGGAGCTTTCGGAACTTTTCGCAACATTTCGGTCCAAAAAATTAAGAAATAACCGGCTATTTTCTGGCCGAAAAGATATCAGAAAAACCTTTTAATTTATATGTGCCTCGCAAGGTAAGACCCTTAATGTAACCGGCATTTCTTAGTCAAAAATTATAAAAATCAAGAGCAAACTAAAATTTTATGCTTTTGTTAAAAAAACATACTTTGTATCAATATCGACATACTCAAGTAAAGTAGCGCTGATTCTCACTGTTTTATTTCTAAATCCCGCGATGCTGAACATGGTAACATTGTGAAACTTCATTTCGTAATCACAGTTCGATCCAACAAAATTTGTTATAAAATTAATTTTCATGTCATACATGTTACTACACCTAACATCATTTATAAATCTTCCACATTTTGCGAAAAGTTGTTAATCAATTTTAATTAGGCAAATGAGCGAAATACCGCCACTGACATTTGAATACCACCGAAATTTGGTGGTTTGACATTCGCCTTAAAATTTTACATGATTTTATATGTATGTACGACTACACCAAAAAGTAATTTACCAAATTTTACTCACCGTAATACTTCAACGGCTGTTGCTGTTGCTGTTGCGGTTGCCGTCGTTGTTGCTGCAGCTGCTGCTGCTGCTGTGACTGTTGATGATACCCAATATCATTTTGTGTTTCACTTGCGCTTTCTTCGCTCCTCGCACTCCTAACACTGGCTTGTCTCCGATGACAGCGAAGTGACATCTTCAAATTAAAACCTCTCAGCATGGATGGCTGAAGTGTGGCGGCTGTTGGGGCCGTCGAGCTCTTAGTCACTGTAGCAATTGCCTCTAATGGACTACTGTCGTGTTGTTTGACTGGTGTGTCGCCGCCGCCGCCGCCCGTGGCATAGCCGCCAAAGATTAGAGCACGTTCTGCACGCATACCCACATACAGGGTGCGTGTAATCAGTATGTAAGCGGCGCACAGTATGAGCAGCGGCAGCACCAGCAACACCAAGTCTAAGAAAATGTTGTAAGAGCGCTCATACGCAATGGTGTCCTCGGGCCATTGTTCGCGACATTTGCGTAAACCTGTCAGAGAAAGAAAAGTACAAAAAAAAACAAAAAAAAAAAAATTAGCAAAAGATTTAATACAACTTCGTCAATGTGCATGCGTATTAAAATAATGTAAATGGCGACATTTTGCGTTTTATTATTTCATAAAGAAATGAGCGTAAGTTTAAATGAAATTTATTTAGTCTGCAACTTAATGCCATAAAAGCTCTAAGTATTATTTAAGTAAGAGATAAGACCAGCACTTGTAGCTTAAGGCCCTCAAAGCAACCGAAAGCAAGCAAATAAACTTACACACAAACAAGCGCAAATATTAGAACAGAGAAAAAGCCATTTCAACTGTCACTGAAACGCTTTGCGTAATTCGTTTGCTTTTTGGATTTTGTTGTAGTATTTACTTAGCCAACAGCACTGGAATACACAGAAACTAATTTTATTTGTTTGCAAGCTATTTGAATGGAACGCGCGGCGTGTTGATATTTGAATAGCAACCGCAAATAACAATTTATATTGACCATATCAGTCGCCGAATTGCGGTTATAAAGGTTTATTTGGTGCTGAATTTGCACGCCGCAAATTTGTGCTGTTTGGTTGAGTGTAAATAAAGCAGATTAAATTGCGCGAATTTAGGTACGGAAGTAATTTATTTTGTAAAACTGGGAAAAAGCATTGGGCGTGTAAAGTTAGACAGAATTTTCAATATTTTTTGTGAAATATTTGCTTAGTTTCTACTTTTGCCCTTGCTTATGTTTAAGACAACCGCCCGATTGTATTTGGAAGTCCTTTACTGATAAACTGATTCTGCTATAAGAATTGCCAAATTAAATTTATTAAATTCTTAATTTTAGTATGACATTTCATTGTATGTCCAAATAGTATTTGATATTAAAGTCATGCCTGCGGACAAATACGAATGGAACTTAATATTAAATATCAGCAACCGCTCAGTTGCAAAACTGAGAAGCGCTTCCAATTAAATGTTTTGTGGCAGGAAATAACGAAGAAAACTTTCTCTTTGAAAGCTGTATTGGGAGTTATTCTGATAGCGCTGCCATTCGAAAGCAGTCGAGAATCTATGCTCGAAAAATGAACGAAATCAAATATAAGAGAATAAACTTTCAGGCCATAGTATGCAGCTAAAAGAAATCAGCAGAATCGCGTCAGTGCAAATCTATAGTGCAAAGTTCTCCGCTTCAAAACAAACCACACGGGTCACTCAGCGGATTAATAAAGGAGTAAAAAAACGTAAGGCCTATAGCTTCGAAAGATTTAAATAAGTGCGCCTCTCCCTTTTTCCTAATACTACCGGCTAGGGAGCGCTATATGATTAAACTGTGCGACAAAAAACGAAAATAATAATATACTCATGAAATCAGAGGCCAAGTAGACTGGGGGCAGATATAATAGACTCGCCTTATTTCGACCAGTTTTTGCTATATTTAATGCTAAAGTTTTTTTTTTTTTATAAAAGTCTAGCTAGTTATACAACAAACATTATACAGAGCTGGAAGATAACTATTAACTAATTCAAATCGACGGTACTTTGGCAAAACCTTGTATCTCGAAACATTCGCGAAGAACACTCTCTAAGAGTAACTTTTTTTGGTACTGAATATTAAAGATTAAGTAATTTTTAATTAGCCCACTTTAAATAAATTTTACGAGATACGAAGTAACAGTGATTTCTGAGACACGAGGTGATGCCAAAGTCGAAATTCTCCCATAGTAACACTTATCGAAGGAGAAATACAATAACAGGCTGAGATTAATCACAACCTTTTTAACAATGCTTGTAAATTTATGCATGATAAAAATATAGTAAGGTAGAACCGCTGAGAGTTACTTTTAAAATTCTTGACGTTTCCAAACATTTTAATTTTTAAATTTACTCACAAACTCACACACTCATTTTCATTTTCAATCTCAAGCAACAATAATTTCGAACCATTTCAATTTCTTATTTTCAATTTTATATGATTTTAAAATGCTGGAATACTTCAAAAAAAAAATCATGGCCGACAAATTGACCTTGCTATGTTTTTATCATGCATTTATGTAAACCGAAATTGGAAAAAAAAACAAATAAATTATCATGTTATTATCGAGATATATGTAATATATTATTTTTACTTTTCTACTTTAATTTTCTTTAATGCTGCAAATAACAAAATTAAACGTATTTTTTTTGAATGGCAGTAGGCAGTTCCATTTAGATGCGACCAATAATATTCTTCACTTAGTAACCGAAACAAGCAACCAGGTGAAGGAAATTTATTTAATCAAATAAAATATAAATCTGAGTGAAGGAGATTTATATCTTGAAATTAAATATAGATCTCAGAAGGCAACCAAAATACCTTCATGTGACTTTTAGTGTAATAAAGTGAAATATCGTTAATTTTTTGTAAATTTTCAATAACAAGTTTGAATTAGCAAATTTTTTGAATTTTTATAATTTTTGTACAAAGTTTCTAATGTGGATTTATATGGTGTTTATTGTAGGTATAACCATGATAAAAATATAGTAAGGTAGAACCGCTGAGAGGAGTTTTTCAAATTCTTAACGTTTCCAAACAATTTAATTTTTAAATTTACTCACAAACTCACACACACATTTTCATTTTCAATCTCAAGCAACAACAATTTCGAACAATTTCATTTTTTTCTTTTCACTTTTATATGATTTTAAAATGTTGGCAAATGTGACAAATTGAGAGAACGGTTCTACCTTGCTATATTTTTATCATGGGTATAACTTTTATAAAAAAATACGAAACATTAAATAAACCAAAGACATATGGCCAAAACTAGTCAAAATAAGGCGAGTTATTATCTCTGCCACCAGTGTAAAGTAAACTTGCGTAATTTGTATTCCTTTTTGACGTAGGGGGATTTTAAAGCCTTTTAAATTATAATTAATTATAATTAACTCACAAAGTTATTTTAAAAATGCAGTGCAATATGGAGTGACAGTATGGGTACCAAATGAAAGAGAAAATTCTGTAAAATTGAAAAAAATGTGTTAAGTGCACGAAGGCGAATATGTATTGAAAATGACCCTCAAAATAATTTTTTTATCCTACGTTAATAAAGACAGACCTTTAAAAAAATAGCCCAATGTTGTAATTTTCATGGATATTAAAAGGTAAAATTTTAAAAGGACATTTTCAATACCTATTAGACCTTGTTCGCCAAAAAATGTTATTTTATTAAATTCTACAGAATTTTCAATTCATTTGGTAGCCATATTTTTATTCTGTGAGTACATTATACTGTATCAAATTTATAAACAAATTTCTGGATTTGGAAATTCCAAAGTGACTTGAAAAAAAATCATAATGTCAGAACGAAAAATTAGCAACGTAGTTTTACTTTACTTGGCTGCTAATTTACACACACAAACTATACAAATTGAATAAAATTTCATGCATAAATACTTATGAAAACATTCATTGTATGCACCCACCTTGCCGACTTGTTGGCATCAATTGACTGAAAACTGCAATCGGAGTCATGCAAATAATGCTGCCGAACCAAATGAATCCAATAATACGATAAGCATGATTAATCGTTTGCCATGTCCTTGAGCGTAACGGATGGCAAATTGCATAATAACGTTCACAAGAAATTGCAACTAAAGTCCAAGATGAGACGGCCACAGAGGCAGCTGCTTGGCAATAGAATATGAAAGTAGAGAAAAACAAATCATACACGTGTATATAATATGGCTGTAAGTATAAGAAGATTATCCGTAAACAAACATGTAAAACATTTCTTTGATTCAAGCAGCAATAAAGTATGTAACGACCTCATAACCGAATGATTTGTGTCTAGTAACAAAATAAGTTAAGTGAATGTAAATGAATATTTATTTCTTGGTAATGCACATATGTATGTAAGCTCGTTGATGATAATATCGTGACTTAAATATAAATTATAGTACTTCGCTTGCTAAGCTTGTTATGGGAATAAGGTGGAAAGGATATTGCAGATACTGAAGAGCTTTTGCAAGGTCGAGATACCTGGTATTCTCTTAGTTAGTCTTCAGCTTAGTTAGCTCAGCAAGAATTGAGAGAGCAACTTTAAATTCAAGTCCTCTAGTAATTTCTAACCATGAATGCACCGAATGTAGTCTGAAGATTGTTAAAAGGTACTGATATTCAACTCTCTGCAGCCTGAAATTTTACGAGATCTAAACATCTGAATTTTACCGATATCCTACGTCCCTCCTCAAAGTCGAGACAAAAAACTTGGACAATTGTCACATTCATTTGCGAATTTGCCACAGTTGTTCGTCTCGAGTGCGGACAGGTCCTTCTGCACTTGGTCCTTCCATTTTGTTCGTGGGTGCCCCTGCTTTCGTTGTTCATGCAAAGGTGCCAAGCCTAATGATCTTTTCATTGTATTTTTATGCGCTCAACTATGTCCATGTTGTAAAATAGAACGGCTACAACGGAACGGAATTTGCTGATTAGTAGGAATGATGTCAGGTTAAATGCGTTCCAACCGCGGAGAGAACTCGAATAAATACGAAAGAATTCACTTATCGCCTCTTCTGTGTACACAAAATATTCTCCATAGGAATCCCAGAGAGAAACAAATGGGAAGGTGGCAAATATATGGACAGTTGCTCGACGGGTTTCTACACAGCTTTCGCTAACATGGCCACAGTCGCGTTTTCAGCCCAAATTAATCGCTATGAAGGAGGCCACATTGTAGCTAATAGCCTCCGGTTTTTCAGAGCTAGCTACTGAGTTCAGAGGATTTCTCAATCAGCTGGTAGCGAGGTGCTCCTTAACCATCGTATGAGTCGGTGAACGCATGATAACTCAATGACCACCTAGCTGGCAATAAATGAAACAGAAATATTCGCGCAGGAAAGAACTTGTCATACCATCATCGAGGACATAAATACCTATTGGGACCCGGAAAAAACCTACCAGACTACAGGGTACATCTGGCCAAGAGCCGATGAGTCGGAAGCTCTCCAGCTCTCTATGCCTTCTGGTAGCACTTGGTAAAAGGTTAGTATATCCAACCAACGTACTTATTTTATAGATTACGTATATAGATAAAGCTCAATCGGTGTTTAAAATTCGAAGAGAATGAAGCAGATTAAGAGCCTTTTCGTCAGTAGTATCACAACGGGACTTTTCTCGCCTAATTGTGCCTTTTTGCTTTTCTTGCGCAGTAGAAGCTACCTTAACCTAACCGACTACTTTCGTTGGCATTCGTAGTTGCGCTTACTATTTACGTAAAATTGAAGCGCTAAGAGGAATATAAATTATCAGCATTTATCTGCCATAATTTTCCTATTAAAAAAAAAGTGGCACTTCGCACATTTTACTAAGTGCTTGGTTGAGCTCAAATGGAAGGACTTTTGAACGGTAGATGGTTTAAGCTGACTATAAGCTTTTTTTATGGCGTACAGTCGAAGATTTTATATTGCCTGCAAAAAAATTTTTTCTGAAGATACTAGCTGCCATCGCTAAAAGTAAATTCATACACATAATTGCACTTATTCATGGAAATTATAAGCAATGCTGGCTTATTGACAGCAAACGTTAAAAAATACTGTTATGTTATTGTATCGTGACTATAGTATGGAAAGGGCGCATCTAACATCGTCACAGAAACGCAGAAAAGCCATAACTAACTAAAATGTTTTATGTCATAAAACGATGTGGTGACATATAATTCGATGAAATGCATCATTATCAATCAAAAGTGAATTTTAGGATTTTTAGTTAGTTACAACTTTTTGAATTGACACGCAAAACAAAAAGTGTACTTCGCTCACGAGACTTATCTCTTAAAGGAAATATAGTCAATTAGAAAATCGATAAAAATATCGATAACAAAAATTGCTTAGAAAATCGATAAAAGTATCGATAACAAAATCGACTAATAATCGATAACAAAATCGATAAATAATCGATAAATAATCAATAAAAATCCATATATAAGCGATAAATATAGATAAAAAGATCTATAACAATATCGATAACAAAACCAGTAACAATATCGATAAAAATATCGATAAAAAAATGGTTAAAAAATATCGATTACAAAATTAATAACAAATTCGATAAAAATATCGATTATTATATCGATAAGTTTCGAAGATATCGATAGTAAAATCGATAGCAATATAGATAAAAATTTCGGTAAACAAATCGGTAAAAATTTCGATAACAAAAACAATAAAAAATCGATTATTATATCGATAAGTTCCGAGAATCCTGAAAATCTGTAAAATCCCAAAATAGTTCACAGATTAAGTCTCTTTGTATCCATCTATATTTCCTTTTCTCTATAATTACCTTTATTTTAATCTTTCTTCCTCAATCTTCATCTTGTTTAAATTTACTTTGATCTTCATTTTTGCCTTCATCTTTACGCATCTTTGTTTTTTATACCTTTCGTGAGCATGAAATGGTATTATAACTTTGGTCCGATGTTTGTAAGTACCAGAACAAGAAGAGATAGACCCATTAAAATGAATACTTAAATGATCAGAATGTCGAGCTGAGTCGATTTAGCCATGTCCGTCTGTCCGTCTGTCCGTCTGTCTGTCAGTCTGTCTGTCCGTCTGTTTGTATGCAATCTAGGCTCTCAGTTTTCGAGATAGCCGGATGAAATTTGGTAGGTGGGTGTATTTTTATAATGTATTAATCATTTGTCGGAACCGGAAGAATCGGACCACTATAACATATAGCTCCCATACAACTGATTGTTCAGATATGAGATTTTTCGTTATAACTTCTCCTTTTATGCAGCTAAGAACATGAAATTTTGCAATACTTCCACCCATTATTAACAGAGAACTTAGAGGGAAAATTACAAAGATCGCGTCACTATAACCTATAGCTCCCGTACTACTGATTGTTCAGATATAAGATTTTTCGTTATAACTCCTCCATTTAAGTAGCTAGTAACATGAAAATTCTCACCGTTTTTACTCATTATTAACAGAATATTTACAGTTGAAATAACAAAGATCGGGTCACTATAACATATATCTCCCATTCAACTGATTGTTCAGTTATGAGAATTTTCGTTATGACTCCTCGATTTATGCAGCTAGGAGCATGAAATATTGCAATACTTCCAACGATTATCAACAGAATTCTTACAGTGAAAATAACAAAGATCGGGTCTTTTTTACATATATGTAGCTCCCATACAACTGATTGTTCAGATATGAGAATCTTTGTTATAATTTCTAAATATATGCAGCTAGAAACATGATATTTCGCACTACTTTCACTCATTATCGACATACAGTCTACAGTAAAATTAACAAAGATCGGGTCAATGTAACTTATATATTGCCTCCATATAACTGATTGTTCAGATATGGGGTTTCAATGCAAAACTTATTTATTTGGACAGCTAAAACCGATAAATTTCGTAAGCTATTGTATAAATAATGAAACAAAGTCTACTGAGAAAATTGTCAAAATCTATGTTGTATAAGCCTTATCTCGTATACCACTGATTGTTCCTATACCAGTTTTTGCGATATATCTCCTTTATGTAGGAAGCTAAACCCATTAAATTGTGTTACCGGTTTACATACCGATCACACAGCAGAGAAAATCACTTAGATTGGAGCTATATAAGGTATATCTTCCATACCTCCGATTGTTTAGATAAGATTTTTTATATATGTAACTCCTCTATCTATGTGTGCTGTGAATATATAAATTTTTTCAAATGCAGTAATCTGTTATAGTAAAGTTTTCAGATGTTCATGAAAGGTATGAAGCCTTCGGCATAGCCGAAGACAGCGCTGCTCTTACTTGTTTATCTTTGCCGTTATCCTTTTCTTTATCTATGTACGTAGTCACCTTTACTTTCATTCTTGTATTGGCCTTTTTCTAAGTGTTAATCTTTAACCTTTTATTAGCAAGTGTTTGTTAAATTAATACCACGTGCATGCACACAAGAAGCACTTGTTTCAGCCCCAACCATTTCCGTTGCACCATTTCCGTTTGAGATTTCCTTTGAATTAAAACATAAAGTCTCACTTCCCATTAATGCATTGAAGCAGGTGTTATTGGGCTAAAAATTGAAATTTACGCAACAAAATAACAACTTAACATAATTTCAACTTAATTTGATTAATTTAAAAAAAAAGTATACGAAACTTAAACAGACACATAATTAATTAGCTGAATAACCGCTTCAGCTTTGAAGAGTTTTAAACTGCAAAGTTGTGCATATGGAGAAGAAAAATACAATGTGATACTCTTTGCTTTTGCCACACTTAGTTCGCTTTGAATTAACAATTCCTCCTAACTACAAAAAGCTAACGAATCATTTCAAAAAGAATTGCATGGAAATTTTATTTGACTATGTCACAGCCCCTAACCCCATATATAAATCTTAAAGAAAGTAAAAATCTGTATGATTATTCCCAACAGATTTTCGAAGGAAAACAAACAAAAATTCTTTTTTTTTTATTGTATAATGAGACCAGCGAGAAAGAAGAAATTCACTTTACGATAAGCACAAAAGCCAAATTTATAATCTTAGCGCCGCATTAAACATATAAATACTGGATAATAAATGCACTCGAAATTTATGGCCAGGCAAGGTCTTATTTATTTTAAGTAAATAGGAAAAAGCGCAATGCAGATAGATGTGAAATAGAGATAAAAGTACAACAGCGAAAATATAGAGAAAAAAATGCTCAATGGTATTCTGAAAGTATTTTGATGCCAAAATTTTTTGTTTGGACACCTCACAAATTTTTAATTCTTAATAAAAAAAAACAAAAAAAAAAATCATGGTAAGAATCGCCGAAAAGGTAACAGCCCAAAAGTAAGCCTAGATAAGGTAAATTGTTAAACAAAGCATTCATATTATAATAAAGTATATCAAAGATTCCAAGAAAAACCAGGCATATATGTTTGTGAATTAATCGTTATAGACAAAATAATAACAACAATTTCGAATGGTCGAAGGGTTTGCATACTCACGGGAACAGCAACTTAAGAACTTTTACCGAGTTATGCCTAAATTTTTTTTTCAGAGGCTTAAAATTTTCCTTTTTTCGGAAAACAATAATTTTTCATGAAATATTTTGGGAAATACCCTTTAATCACAGAGATTGGTTTTTTTCGGGTAGTCATAGAAAAAGTTGACGCCTAAAGTATTGGTGGAATAGTTTAACCCTCTAACTAAAGCGAATTAAAATTCTGCGGCTCCGCTGGCTTGGCCCTGTCGTTTGAATAGACAGAAACGCTCCTGCTCTGAAAATATTTAACGCGGGACGCATTGCTGGTAACAGAGGAAGAGTAAGGCCTTCTCTGCGCTGGAAAGAGCAGGTCGAGAAGGACTTGGCTTCACTTGTCGACACAGAAGATAAATGACTGGCGTGCTGTTGTGGACTCGGAAGAAGTACTGAGGACTAACGACTTGCGTGCTTTGCTTAATTCGGCCAAAATCGCTTAGGCGGTTAGAGCGTTAATTAAGAAGAAAATCAAGTGAAGCCTATTAATGCTAGTGAGGGCTTTTACGCGGGGTTGTTGGACGCTCTTCGTGCACATGCTATCCTGAAATAATTATGGGATGGATTTGTTTCCTAATCCAGGTAGTAGCAGCAGAACAGGTAAGTAGATTGCTGTCTTAGTAGTAGTATTGCAGTCTCTGCATGTGACTGAAATTATTTTTAGACAAATGTTTTTGTGTTAACATCCTGTTAAATCTAGAGGAACTAAAAGTAAAATAGTATAGGATTGATAGTAAGTTATGACGCTATACTAAAGGGTCGGAAAGCTCCTGAGTTTGAGTTATTTCTTGAAATGAGAATACTTGCCAGATCTTCTCCTACTCAAAAATTTAAAATCAACGTATGAAACGACCCTCAAGGTAACGAAAAGTTCAGGAACTATTACCACTGAGCTGACAATGGAAGACTCCGTGGAACGCTGAACTTACTAAACTTCAGAATGGATCGACATTAAAGTCCTTATTAAGTTATTTTTCACAGAAAAAATTTTAGGATTGAATTAAACTTTCCCTTTAAATTACATAAATACTTAGTTCAAAAGTAATATAAGTACAGCTACATATGTATATACTATAATGCATTTTAGGCGTGCCCGACAACTTTTTTCACGGTCAGCGTACGATAAGCACCCCATGGACCTTCCTTATTAAGATGGCATACGAAGTGTGTAATTGTTTTGCTTTTTTTTACTCAAATAGTGTTACTAAAATTTGTATGATCCTGTGTTAAGTGGAATGTTGCAGAATGTGTGTGGATATATATATTTGGGCAAGAAACAATAGTAATTTAAGTGAGAATCTTTGGAAGGTCCTTGCGGATAATGACTTCAATCCGATGATTATGACGAACGATATCTCGGCATCGTATTGGAGACTATTTTAATAGATTCCCCCAAACGGAAAAAATTTCACAAGGAAAGTCTGAAATATATATTGTTTTTTGCTGACAATGCTAGGCACTACACATATGTATGTAGAAGCGTGCTCGAAATGTCAGAAAAAACAAAAGTATTACAAATGAACGCGATTTCTTAACCACTTGAAGTTTGCGCCTTATTACTTTAAAATTTAATAGCCTATAAAAGTGCATAATGCATTTTCCTAAAATAAAAAAAATTATTTAGGGAATTTTTTGTTAACTACATTCTTACAATTTTTCTGAAAATGAAGAAATTTAATTTTAGTGAAAGCGTTTATACAACATTTAAAATTTTTCTTGTGACCTATTTTTAGTTTTGTAGGGGATGCCTATAACAGTTTTCAACTAGTTTTAGTTGTGTAACATTTATTAGCAGGGACAGAGTCCGAAGCACCTTTATTCAAAAATGCTACTTTGCACAATACAATTTAATACAAACAAATACAAATTTTAAAATCGGGCTCGAAAATACTTAAATCGTTTAAGCATTGAACGCTATTTCGAACCCTTATTTTCATTTCAGACCACGGCGCGGCGGCTAGGTCGAGCCGGATTAAAATGCCGCATCGTTAAAAACGTGATAGGTCGATTGGAACCTTCTCGAGCATCCGAAGGTTAACGATATATAATTGATCTAAAACCTTGTTTCGATCGTCAGCGGAAAACCCACAAAAATGTATGCATAATGCGCAATAGATGGACAACACGCCATAACTAAAATAATTATTTGTATGCTTTAAAATTTAAAACTCCTTCAACACGACTTAAATAGAACGCAAGAAATCCACATGAAAGATTATAAAGTAAAAATTTGAAAATGAAGAAATAAAAAAAAAACTCCAAACCACGCAATGCCTTGTTTGCATTTTAGTGACATACCATTTGGATAAAAAATATGCAGCTACGCAATTTGAAAAGTTTTGTTGCGGCGAATGCCTTAGGAGTCTCTTAAAGTAACCAGGCATTGCGGTTATTCACATCACTGAGCAACAAAAACTAAGGTTAGTTAGCGTGGTCCCTGCCTAGCAAAGGCGACCTCTTTTACTTGTGCTTTCGTTAATTTATTGCATTGGACATTAGGTGTGAGCAAGAAATGTAAATAGACACATACAAATGTATCTGATTTCCGAGGAAGGGTAGAAACTGTAACCACAACGGAGGAAAGTGTATGGTTACAATATTTCCATTCGGGCTCCAGGGACTCACAAACAAACATTCATTACATACATACATATGTACAGCTTTGCCTATGTGTGTATACATACATATATGAGAATTTGTTTCTTTCAGCTGTAAAATAAATCAAAAATGCCAACCCCTTCCAAGTGTTGCAAATCCGTTTGCGCGACAGGGAATTCGTTTATGCCGCTGGCAATTTTCGGAGAAGAAAAATTCCTGTACGTCAAAGGGAGCGTAAACTTTCTAGGAACTTGACACATTTTCACTGCATATAGAAAATACATCACAACTTAAGTACAAACATATTTTTGAAAATACACAACTACATATGTACATATATGTATGTCTGCGCAAATATTTATTTATTTCCTGTCACAATCATTTACTTACTCACCTTGCGAGAATTGTATGAGTTTGCAAAAGAACTCGCCGAAGATGAAATGGCGCAACAGCGTGCCTACCAACGTCACCGGCATGCAGAGTACGCCCAGCAATATGTCGGATATGGCGAGATTAAGCAAAAACACATTCGTTATGGTGCGCATACGACGATTCTGCGCGAGCGTTGATATCACCAACAAATTTCCAACAATGGCAAAGAAGAATATGACACTGTAGCAGGGTATAAGCCATATTGGAATCTCCGAACTTATGCGCGGCGTTACCACATAAGTATCATTGCCATCGACCGCACTTTCATTGTTGTGCTCATAGGTGAAAAGTGCTGTTGGTGTTGATGGCGGAAGTAGCGGTGCGGAGGAGGTTGTCGTCGTATTTCCGTTCACATGCACGGTCTGTTGTAGCAGCTCAAGGCTAATGGCGGCAGCTGAGCGGATTAGTTGTGGCGAATATGCAGAAGATTTTGTATTTGTCGCAGCTGCTGATGCTGATGTGTGGGTGTGGGCGATAAGTAGAGCGGATGTGTTTTGTTGTTGGCTGAGCCCGTGTGCAAAGTTCGAAGAGTTCGCGCTGCGATAGTCTTTAGGGGAAATAAACATTTTGAAATCGTCTGCACTGCGTGGAATGTACTGATGTGGAATGTACACTATGTATGTTGCTATGTATTGTTCTTTCGAATTTCAATTTAATTTGTGTAGCGGATGGAAAGTAAAAGGTTTCAAAGAGCTTTGACTAAGCCAAACGCAGTTTTATAATTCGCTTAAGTGCGGCGAAAGAGTCGCATTTTTTTGGTTGTTCGTTTAGTTTGGAAATTATTGAGTTGAATTTTTATCTTTCGTTGCTTTGAATTTGTATCTATCAAATAATAATCTGTATAGACTGCGAATAATTTTGATTTTTATTCTGTATTTTTCATAAAAAAAACTTTTATACGCAATACAGAAACTATCCACAGCTTATCCAAGACGCTGGCAGGCGTCGAACAGTATCTAAGCTTCTATGTAGGGCTTTTCATCATTGAGTTAGCTAAACGGATCTTCTAAGACCGTTCACAGTAACGGCTCGTACTTTAGGTGCCTTTCTTATTTTCAGACAGAATGTGGCCTTCGCCGAAGGGCAACATTATTTTACATTCAAAGGGAAAAGTTATAAACGTAAAATATTTTGACATATAATAAAAAAAATGTTTTTTTCTTTTAAACAAAATTGTAGTTGTTAATTGAAGCAACAATAACACGCTGTTGCATGCAGCCTTTAAACCTATTCGAGGTTAATTAGAAAAGTGTAAGCTACTGAACAAAATAAAATTCAGCTGCCACCTGTACGTGAAAATTTAGAGCTTTTTACTTATCTTGAGTATGCAGTTCTCCAGCCTGCTCAATTTTTGCACAATAAAGTTGATTTTTGAAAATCTTTTATCAGTACTCATTTTCTCAATATAAAAAAATCATCGAACATTCTTCGTATGGAAGGAAATGACAGACATTGCCAACAAATAAAAATTGTCAAAAATCAACGGTAAGTGCCAGCTACATAAAACTTGCACTTTATTATGCTAAAATTGAGTGGACTATAAAACTGCGTATTCCAAAAATTTCTAGGAAATACAAATATTTAAAAAGCTCTGATTTTTTACGAAAATTTGTTGAATTATTTTTTCTTTAACTTACTGAGATATGTATGTAGAACAATATGGATGTCAAAAAAGCTTTAAGAAGATTGCAGTTTGAAGATATCTTAAAAGGGTTGCCACATCGTTGAAAAGTCAAATTTAATTAAATTGTGTACAAGTTACCTATGTAAATCAAATATTTAATTGCGGCTAGTAAATGAAAATGTATTGAGAAATCTTTAGTTTAAATATCTAGAATATTTTTGCTGTTTAACATTACATTTAATTCAAATTATTTAGTAAGTGAAATGATTTATTTTAGTATGGGTATCAGTCGAAATGGTTTCTAAAAGGCTTTATTTCAAACTACTTGTGGAAGGATTGCCACCTGTATAAAAAGTTGAATTGAGCTTGAATCAAGGGAATTAAGTAATTGAAATATGTACCGCTATATGGGAAAACAAAATTAATATCTTTTATTTTCTTGGCTGAGTTTAATGCCGATTTCGTTTCTACCGAAAAATGCAACATTTTCCACGCCCTCTACGCACAAACACTAAGAAGAGGGCGATGAGAAGGCAACATTTTTTGTAGAAACGAAATCGCCGTAAGTATGTATGCTGAGTTTTATTGAAATAAATTAGTCCATCTGTTCAATGAGTATTTAAAGTTACAGCCCAATAAACGATGAAAATATTATTTCACTGGCTATTTTTAGCTCAAATGAATGTTATTCGACGTTGTTGACGCTTCGTACTTCTTTGTACGTTTTCTGTAGAGTGACTTTGTAATATACATACATAATTATTTTATTGTTCGACTGAGCTGAGTAGTTGTGCATACACATGTTTGATGCAGAAAAACTAAAAGTCATGAAATTACTAATAGTTTTGCTACTTTATTCTCTCATAACTTTATTGCCTACTAGTTATTATTGTAACACAACCACCTGTCACGCATACGTCTGTGGGTGCCATAATAAAATAATTCACGAATGATAAAATTAGTAGCGAAAGGTTGTGTTTTTAATTATAAGTTTTTTAGAAACATATTCAACTCTTTGTTGGAATAAAACACACCATTATAAAATCCACGAGTGTGAAAATTATGAACTGTACATAAGTTATGTTACTAGACAGCGAACAATGGAATGTGCCATCAGGACCAGGAGCAAGATAACACCAATATCTCAAGTGTTGTTGTTGAATTTATACAAAACATAAAAAGGGTTAGTAAAGTGCTGGATGCAACCTTGCTGTGAAGGTCTCAAACAGATGTGAACTATCTCTTAGTTTGTTTGTTTGCGACATCAGTTAAATTGTATATAAACAAATGGGTAGG